TCCTGAGTGGAAACAGGTCTGAGTTGGAACAGGTCCTGAGTGGAAACAGGTCCTGTGTGGGAACAGGTTCTGAGTGGGAACAGGTCCTGAGCGGGAACAGGGAGGCTCGTTATCGACTGGCTGAGCTGGTGGGAAAGTTGGACGAGGGGGGGTCACACGCCTCCCGTGTCTGGTGGAAGGTTTGAGTCTGTGGTACAGACCCCAGGTCCAGGGTGGAGGCCCCAGTTCCAGGATCCAGGTCCAGGTTCTCAGGTGGAGGTTGGGGTTTAGGTCCAGGTCCAGGATCCAGGTCCCGGGTCTGTGGGTGGAGGTCGGGGTCTAGGTCCAGGTCCAGGATCCAGGTCCCGAGTCTCAGGTGGAGGTTGGGGTCTAGGTCCAGGTCTAGGATCCAGGATCCTGGTCCCCGAGTCTAAGGTGGAGGTCCAGGTTCAGGGTCCAGATCCGGGGTGTAGGTCCAGGGACCCGGGTCCAGGTCTCAGGTAGAGGTCCAGATCTGGGTCCTGGTCCAATTTCTGGGTCCCGGGTCCAGGTCTCAGGTAGAGGTCCAGAACTGGGTCCTGGTCCAAGTTCTGGGTCCCGGGTCCAGGTGTCAGGTCCAGGTTGAGGGTCAGGGGCCAAGCTGGAGGCCAGACTGTTCGGTGTTTTTTGTATTTTTCCACAGATGAGACTTTTTCATGTCAAATCCACTGATTTGTTTTGTTCTTTAGATTTCTAGATAATTCTCTCAGAGTTAATAATCCGTTCTGTGATAACAACATGAGCTCACAGACTGTTTTTATCGGGTGTGACTCACATTTTTCCTCCTGCTGATGCTATCTCTCCAGAGGGTTCAGGACGAGGAACCTGCTCTGGTTTTGGGTTTGGACTCCTGTTTGAAAACCTCCTGTCATTCTTTTCTGTCATTTTTAATCCAGATTGAGTTTTTATTCTTTCTCCAGACTGGTTGGAGAGCAGATTACTTCAATTTTAGCAGGATTAAATCTCTTTCTTATTCATTTGAGCTTTTAATGAGATGTGAAATTCCACTCTTTCTGTCCTTTTTGGGGCCAAAGCGTCTAAACTCTCCTTTAGATCTCCATCAGAAACTTACTTTAATCTGAGAGTTATTCATGTTTTACTCCATTTTGTCTGAGTTTTATTGATAAATCAGTTGCTTAAAAGCTCCTTGGCTTAACCCTGTAATGCCAAATGTATCATATTTGATTCATACGGTTTCTGAAATGTTTTGCGTCTGACACCTTTTGCATAATTTAATGGTAAAAACTTTGCTCAAAATCCTATTGTACACAATCA